TAATTCATGTCGTTCCTTAAAATTTAGAAAAAACTGAAATATGGGCTCATGGGGCAAGGATAGTTAGAGATAATACGGCACGGTTAAATTCTGTTAATGACATTGCAAATTTTGAAAAAGTGTTTAATTGTTCTTTTTAGGTTGATATACATATTGGTGCGTAATTATATGCGGAAGACGAAGCTTATGACCAAGAAATAGTCGTCTGAAAAAAATTGGTTAAACCTCTGATTCTAGTTCAGATGAATTTTAATACAATAATTGCAATTCAGAAAATGTTCCATACATATTTTTAATACTTGAGATATCAATATTGAATAGTCTAAATTCAGTAAAATAAAGAAAACAAAAATTTACTGATTTTCTATAACATTTTTAGCATTCGAATTCTTTTAATTATCCTTGCCCCGGTACTGGGGCAAGGATAGTTAAAAATTTTTGTTTAACTTTTTCATTTGTATCTCGTAGGAATTTGAGTCTACAGTAAAATAATGTACAGCAAAATTATAGCCAAAGAACCAGGCTTTCCAAAAATACTTTTCATTTGCAGATACATAATCAAGTTTGGCCGCTAGATCCGAAAAGGTCTTACCTAACTATCCTTGCCCCATCCTCCCCTATTTTTAATAATTAATTAAATATATATATTAAAAAATTTAACTGATTTCATAAGAACTTGAATTATTTAATTATAATAAAGTCTTTAACGTCCGAGTGGTTTTAATTTAATAAGACAGAAAAACGAAGACATTCAGACAAAGATTACATTATTAACATTAAATGAATCTTTGTCTAAACGTCTTCGTTTTTTTATCTTATTATTGAATTATTTAAATTTTTCAAAAAACTAAGTTCTTTAAAATTTCTAATTAAATTCATTCAAACTTGAAATTTTATAAAATTTTAAATTAAGACCTTTTTAAGTGCATCTATTTTGGGTAAATCATAGTCAAAAATTTAAAAATACTGCACTGAATCCAATCTTCAATCAATGTCGTTTGATTGTAACTTTCGCCTCAACCTGCAAATAGATCTCCATCTCTGGTGTCAATTAGATCAATTATTTTATTCTCAGACATTGTTAATTTGTTTCTTATTAATATTTCTTAAGTTTCTAACATTAACATAACAAATTTTAAATAAAAGTCACTAATGGCCATCTCACAATCCAGGTTTGTCGTGACCGCGGCTCTAATTTCCGTCTAAGACACAGCTCTGTGAGACATTATTGGTACGATGAAGTCCTTGTAAGGTAGCTTCATTCTGATTCCACAATTCGTACGTGTGCACGGAAAAAAAAGTTCACAAATCTCTCGTGAACTAGTATATTACTTTTGGATGGGACACAAAATTCTTGAAAATCAACAAACACAGTTCGTCAAAATTTCATCAACTCCTTCACTAGAAACATAGTACGGTTTCCGAACTTTTCGTCAAAGTTAACGAAAAATTCGTGAACTTTTAAAAAATGCTAAAAACAAGAAAAAATAATTTCCAGACAGTACTTTTTTATAGTATTTCACTTAATTTGATAACTTGACGCCTATACGCACCCAACTATACAGAATATACAATTTTATCGCCATTAAAATTCGTAATTCGCTTCACGGGATTTGAACCTAGTACCCTATACCCTATAACATAATATTTCTAACAACTAACCGCCACGGCTAAACCTACACGGAAAAAGTATCGGCACGTCAGATGTACAGGTTGTGTCAAATTTTTTAATCAAAAGTGAATGAAAATTTTGAAATTTTGTGTCCCATCCAAAAGTGATATACTAGTTCACGAGAGATTCGTGAACTTTTTTTTTCCGTGTAGGTTACTACCAGGTTTTTTTTAAGTTTTCACTGAGAATAGTGTTAGGTTTTTCACCAAATTTTATTGTGGTTAATGTAACCGGAAATTTGCAGCTTATTAGAAAGAGAGGTCTGCGCGCGTACCTGAATTTGCAAGTCAAGTAGCATAAACTTCTAATGTTTATGCTTAAAAGTGAACAAATATATATTAAAAATATTATATGACGGCATTCTCGTTACAAGTTTCTCTTTGGAACCTTGAAGAAAACACAGCGACGATTTGTTTAGTGTTTGCCTCATTCAAAAGTTATTCAATTTTTGTTTAATAACTTTTTAACAGTAAAACAATTACTGTTCCAAAATGTTTATACAGCCTACCATTTTTAACGGATTTGAGTGTTTTTTGTTTTCAATTAAAGGGGAATAAATTCTTAAAACATCCCTCGAGGCTGATTTTTGAGATTATAATTGTTTATAATTTTTTATTTTAATCAAAGTTAACAAATTAATACAATTTTTTAAAAAAGGACTTTTGTTTTCTTATTCTGTTACTACACATGATCTGAATCAGTTCAAATTCATTCAATATGACCACCAGACAATTAATAAAACATAAAATAATTTATTTAAATTGTTATAAACAGTGTATTAATTACAAATAGATAACTTTGATTTGTCTTCCTTAAAAAAGGTTTTTCTTCCACATTTTCTTTTTAATTTAAGTTCATTACAAGAATATATGTCCTTTTTGTTTAAAGAGTAACTTATTTAAATGGTTATAAATAATATTAATTAACAAATAGTTAACTTTGATCTCTCTTCACTAAAATATGTTTTTTTTCACGATTAATTTTTTATTTAGGTTCATTTAAAGAGTATATGTCCTTCTTGTTTAAAACATGACTTATTTAAATTGTTATAAGCAATATTAATTGACAAATAGTTAACTTTGATTCCTCTTCACTAAAAATTATTTTTTTCACGTTTTCTTTCTTATTTAGGTTCATTTAAAGAATATAAGAATGTAAGTACTTATTTTAATGTCACATATTTAAAATAAGTTGGTATACTTATACTTACATTCTTATATTTTTTAAATAAACCTAAACAAAAAAGTAAACTTAAAAAAATATATTTTTTGTTGGAAAGGAACAAAAGTTAACTACTTCTTAATTAATATTGTTTGTAACAATTTAAATAAGTTACTCTTTAAACAAAAAGAACATATATTCTTTAAATTTGCTTAAATTAAAAAGAAAATGTAAAAAAAAAACATTTTTTAGTAGAGAGGAATCAAAGTTATCTTTTTGTTAATTAATATTGTTTACAACAATTTAAATAAATTATTTTATGTTTTATTAATTGTCTGGTGGTTATATTGGATTAATTTGAACTTATTCGCAGATCATATATGCAGTTACTTGTTAACTTTGGTTAAAAAAAATTATAAACAAAACAAATATAAAATCTCAAAAATCGGCCTCGAAGGATGTTTTAAAAATTTATTCCCTTTTAATTTAAAACAAAGAACACTCAAATCGGTTAAAAATTGTGTGCTGTAGACATTTTTGAACAATAAATTGTAAAAAAATTTCCACTGTGGCTCGATCTCTCTCTGTAGGGGAGAGTGGGGCAAAATGGGGTAGGCGGGTCAAATGGGGTACCTCTGTTTTTCCATGATAGGTACTTTTAATTTTTTTTTCCTCGACATATATTATTAATGTAGATAAGAAACTGTTATTAATTATGAAGACACTCCAAAGAAAATTTTTTTTTTGAAAGTTATACAACTTTTAAGTTTTAAGCAAAAAAAATATGAATTTTTTTCAAAATTAAAGTGCTCTCCAAACTTTTTGGGATAATGCATTTAATTTGGCAAGTGTGGGATCTTTTTCAGTACTTATTTTAGAATAATTTTCAATAGAATAGATTGTTTAATTGTTTACAATAACTTGTAAACATTGCATTTTGTTTTAATATGCAGTGTGGGGCAGAATGGGGTACCTAAGTGTGGGGCATGCCGGAAGCTACTCCGTTTCACTAAAACTATTTAAAAACATTATATTATGCATATTTAAAGGTTTCCTGCAGAAGAATCGATATTTTTGCTTCGAGGCATTTATACTATCGATGTTTCATTATCGATATATCGATATTTTGCAATATCCATGTTTTTTTTGTTAAATTCCAATAAATATTACTTGTTTTGTCATAGTAATAAAGAATCCTACTTTTTGTTTGTATTTATAATCTCATACAACAAGAATTTAATGAATTTTGAAAAAATACTCAATGTTTTGTATAGTTATTTGATGCCACCCCATTTTGCCCCACGGGTGGGGCAAAATGGGATTTTAGCACTTTCTTAGAAAATACGATATAAGTTCTTTCAAAAATTTTTTTCTCCGCTATTATCATAATTTCCTCAAAGCTAAGTGTACAAAGAAGAATTCTGAAGTTTAGCTGAATCGATTTATTCGTTTGGTTCTCTGTAAACAGCCAATTTCAAAAAGGTACCCCATTTTGCCCCACTCTCCCCTATTATTTTTGTAACATCTCCAAAATTCAATTTTTTAGAAGTCTTTAACTAAATTTCTACGATAAATTCACTATTTTTAATAAATTATTACATTAATATTGAAAAATTTAAATAATTTCAGAAGAATTTAAATTATTAAATTTTTTCAAAAAAGTAATAATTTTATGATAATTTTTCAAAAATTAAGTTATTTAAAATAAATTATTGTCAGAAATAAAAAAATTGTAAGGTCTTTGTATTAGAATTCGTAGTAATTTCATAACAGTTTATGATTCAAAAAAAAGAAAGTAACACAAAAATTCATGTTATAAATTCTATAAATTTTTAAAAAAATTTCAGTACTTTTAATAAAATTATATACATAATATAATAATGTGTGAACTGTGTTTTCCTTCATTGCATTCTTTGCTAATTTTTCCTCGTTAAAAATGCTTGATATATATTATTCTGTATGCAATTTGTATAATGTATACAACATTCACACATGCATTATGTGGAAGACATAAGACGCACAGCGTAGCGGCTGTTCTGGATATACATATGCACATGTATATTAGAGTCCTACAAGTAGTGTAGTGTATAGTAGGAGGACAGTGGTGCTGAAAAGGAGGAGTGGGGGTGGCAGTGGTGGCACAAAGAGTAAAGACGACGGGGAATGAGGGGAAGGCAGCGGGAAGCTCCAGTGGAGGCGCAGCCGGTTATCGTCATCATAGTCGTGAGTCGTGGGGAGTCGTGAATAATCGCAAAAACGAATCGCAAACAAAATAGAAGAACAAAAGTGTAGTTCAGTCTCTAAGGACGAGCTAGTGGTAGTGGATGGATTCGGAAATGTATAAGCAAGTGAACATCGGGTGACTGTTAGTGCTTTATGGTCAAGTGTTATGTAGCGTGTAACTTTTCTAGAGAGCGATAGCAGTAATGATCTGCGTTCATCCAACATGGAAAGATGTGTTTTAAGCTCAACAGATTCTCGACTCAGTCCACACTATTAGCATACAGGTGCAAGTGTGATAATGAATTTGAGATGCTGCTTTCCTCTACAAAATATAGAAATACGTTCCCTAATTTATGAGGACCTGACGTGCACCGCTGCTTGAAGAAAAAACGAGGTGGAACAGCGCGAACGCGAAAGTGAAAAATACGTCCATTGCAAAATGATAAATTTGGAAGGTTGCAAAGAAATGCTGGATTCATTAAATCTATGAGGTTGGCCTTTCTGACCTTTCGTCAGAAGTGAAACGTATCATTCGAAATATGCGCCTTGGGATAAAACAGGATTTTCTCACATTTGCATAGAAAACGTGAAAAAGTATTCTCCACCGGCAAAAGTATATTTGGAATGTTGTGGAAAATTTGTTTTCCGTGGAGGAGGTGTCTTTCAATCGTAAAAGTGTGTTTTTTTGAGGAATGAAAGTAGTGACGGATGTTTTTGCCGTAGGTTAATGCACCTCACGTGGCGAGAGGAGTTGCGTATCGTAGCCGTCAAACTACATGTAGTGGGGAAGAGGGAATGCCTGAGTTACATAAAAAGGGTTAAACTTTTAAGCGTATAAGTGCGGAAAAGATGAGTATCTGTGCACAAACTCGTGTTGACTGATGCGTATACACAGTTTTATTGTAATGTATGTGCAATAACATGGTGTAATATATAGAGTGTGCACCGTAAAATAAACCCACGCCTCTTATATATTGTACGAGTACGAGCAGAGAGGAGAGACATAACGATCCATCCACAAGGCGTCCCACACGACGCATTTGTACAATTTTTTTCTTCATGTCAGACGTACTTTATGGTCGATGTGATCGTGAATATTTTTCAAGTGCACACATCGTGGATCATTGGATGTGCGATGTTACACCATCGTCAAAGAAATTCAATTTATGCTGCTCTAATGATTTTATCCATTTTATCCATTGTCAGATTGCATTCTTTTAGCTTAAATAGTCAACTGAGAAAAATTGCATACTGAGATTGGAAATAATGACATAGAGCGATATTTATGGCACTAAGTGACTCTTTCTGAAAAAAAAACAATTTCAGATACTGTGTCGCATAATTGTGCGGTGACAGTGTTCTAGTGACATCTAATAAATGAACTATGCTCAAGTTTTTAACGCACAAACTAAGAACTCATTCTCTAAACGAGGATCCGAATCAAGAGAAGGTACATAAAATTATTCATATAAAACAAACATAGCAGTTTTTTCACAATTTTCGTACCTTAATTTACAATGAAATGAATTTTAAATTTAACATTCTAACATAGGACATTATACCTTAAAATTCAATTAATCAAATTGGAGTGGCTATTCGGACAGTTAACTGTCAAAATAAGGTGGTTTAAATATTCTGCCAGTAAACTGGCAGAATAAGTTAGTTTTCTTATTTGGCCTGTATTTAAAAAAATACACAATTAATATCTAAATCTGGCCAAATAAAAATGGGACTCTATTTGGCCAGTCAAAATAAACCGTTTATTAATATTTCAATATGCGGGCAAGCTAACGTTTTCAGGGTTGCCACATGTCAGGGAAAAGTCAGGGAAATTAGAATTGGTCAGGAAAAAGTCAGGGATTTCTTATTAAAAGAACTGGAAAAAATAGAATTTTTAGAATTTATGAGAATAAATCTAATACAAACCCTTTAATTTTTTCGATTTTTGACAATAATTTCTTTTTAAATAACTTTATTCTTGAAGAACTATCATAAAATTATTACTTATAAATTATTTAATGAATAATTTTACTTAAAAATTTCAAAATTCATTGGATTTTTAAAGAGTTGCGCTTACAACTTATAAATTCAACTAAAAGTTCAAATTTTTTTTTAAATTTCAATTATCTTTATAAATAATAAAATTCTTTTCGGAAATTCAATTATTTTCAAAAAATTTAATAAAATTCTTTGAAGCAATTCAATTAATTAAGAAACTTTAATAAAATTCTTCCCAAGAATTAAATTATTTTTAAAAATAAACATTTTCACAGGAATTCAATTATTTAAAAAAAGTTTTTTTTAATCGTCAGATTTCAATTATTTTCAATTTTTTAATGAAATTTTTAGATAGAATTTAATTATTTTTAAAAAGTTTTTAAAAATTCTGAAAAATTCAATTATTTAAAAAAATTTGAATAAAATTCTTCACAAGAAATTAATTATTTTCATTAATAATATTTTTCTCAGGAATTCAATTATTTTCACAAATAAAATTCTTCACAGGAATTTAATTCTTTAAAAAATTGTTTAATAAAATTCGTTGTAAGAATTCAATTATTTTCATAAATAACAAAACTTATTACAGAATTTCAATTATTGTTTATACAATTTTAAATAAAATAATAGAAAATTGCATTTATTCTTACAATAATTTTTTCTTTAATTCGCCGAAAGAATTCAATTATTATTAAAATTTTTGATAAAATTCTTCAAAAAAATTCTATTTTAAGAAATATGCAATTAGTGAATAAATTATTTATTTTCGTATTTAAATAATTGAATTCTCGGTTAATTTTCTAATAAAAATTGATTAAAAAATGAATTTCACTAAAAATTTTAAATTATAATTTAATATTAAAATATTATAGCTTGAATTTTTAAAAATAATTGAATTTTGAAAAGGGTTAAAATTAAAATCTTTGAAAATTTGAATTTATAGTTGCAATATTCTTATGATATAAAATAATGATTTTATCACTCTGTCATCTTAAATTTATTATAAAACATAAGGAAATCGAACAGGTCAGGGAAAAAGTAAAAATGTTGTCTGAAAATCAGGGAGAAGTCATAAAAAAACAAAATTAAAGTTTTGTAGCAACCCTGGTATTGATAAAAAAAAATTTTAAAAAGTTAAAAAGAACAACTAAATGTATGAAGAAGAGAAAATTTATCAAAAAGGATGCAAAAGGTGAAAAAGTATTATTAATAAATAATATTAATATTTTTTTATTATTATTGCTTATATGTATTACAATATTTATATATAAATATGTATATATAATAGGGGAGAGGGTCCCAAGGTGGACATAGTTTCAATTTAATGCTCTAGCAAACCCAATAAGATATGGTAAATTGTAATATACTAAATAAAAGTACAATCAGGGTTGCCACATGTCAGTAAAGTCATTGAAGTCAGGGAAATGTCAGGAAAACAATATTTTTGGCAGTAAAGTCAGGGAAATAACAGAAAAAAAAATTTTTTTCAGGGAAATTAAGAAAATTGAGACTTTTTTCGATTTATTTTCAAAAATTGCGACTTTTGGCATTTCTTCCAAATATTGCAACAAAATACCACATCTTTTAGTATAAAATGTAAATTATTTTCATTTTTATAGTGCGAAAAATAACTATAAACAAATCTTTCATAAATTATTCTTGAATCATTTTTCAAAATAATTAAATATTTTTCAAATATATCTCTATAATAAAAATCGTTTTAAAATAATTGAAATTTTGAGAAAGTTAATTGAAAACAATAATTTTTTTCAAGTATTTTGTTACAATTTTTGAAAATCAACTTTTGAAGAATTTTCGTTGTAAATTTTATTGAATTATCAAAAATATTAATTGAAAAATCTTCAAATGTAAATTTAAAAATGAAAAATAATGAAAATTAGCTTCTAATTTTTAAAAATTCAATATTTTCAATTAAATATTTCCGACAATTTATTATGTACAAAAAGTAATAACATTTTATTTTGAACATTTTGGAGAAAAAATCTCATGTTCAAAATTATTAATTAAAATTCCTCAAGAAATTAATCAGTTTTCTTTAAATCTTTTTAATTTACTTTTTGTATTTAAATAATTGAATTTTAATAGAACTTTCGAAAAATTGTTTAAAATAATTGATGTAGAGATGAAGTTTGGTAGAAAAAAATTGAATTCAGGAAGGGTTATAAATGTTATTTTTAGAAATTATTAAAATGCATAAATTTTACTCATTTTCCGTAAACTTTAATATTTTCCTATAAAAAGAATTTTGTCAGGGAAAGTAATTTTAATGTCAGTAAATTGTCAGGGAAATTGATAATCTGAAACTTGTGACCACCCTGACAATATATTAGGTATCTTTTGGCCTATTGAAAATCTATAATTTAAATAATTTTACCGATTTAGGGAGAAATTGTAAGAAAACTTCGTGAAACACAAATTTCAGGAAGTGTGTGCAGAATAAAAACAAATTGCTTTTTTTCCTTCAAATGGACATCAAAAACTTCATCTATACTAACAACAAAAATAACAAAAAGCATAAGGTGCTCCTACTTTATACAAAAATTTTAAACGAAATGTCTATTTTGGGGCCCTTTATCCCCTAATATATTTATTATTTTTCTAATATAAATTTTAACAAAAATTTCTTAATAAGTTTAGTTCATGTTACACTTAAAGCAGAACCAATTTACCCGTTTTGGAATTTTTTTTAAATTTGTACAAGATTGGTTAAAATGTTTTAGACAAACAAACATCCAACAGATATTTATACCTGATGGGCCCTTTATTCATACAATGACAAAATAGTAAACCCGTCTTATTTCTAGTCACTGGCCAAATAATTAAACCACCTTAGGGGTCTTCCATAAACCACGTGGCGCTCCAAGGGGGAGGGGGGTCAAGCTATGGACCACGATAAGAGGAAAAAATGGCTCTAATACATGTAACAGCATGACACATGGGGGAAGGGGGGGGGGTTTGAAATTTAGAAAAAAATGGGACCACGTGGTTTATGGAAGACCCCTTATTCTGACAGTTAACTTTCAATTTAATATGACAATCAATACATTTTTTAAATTTTATATTATTTATAACTGAACAAGTGATATTTCACTTATCAATTGCAGATTAGAATTAATATTTTCATTAATATACAGTGTTGTTCGATAAGGGGTTTTACCCCTAGATTTAGGGACCGTCCATAAATTACGTGAGACATTTTTTGGAAAATTTGACCCACCCATCCCCCTTCGTAAGATATTTTACATACATTATCGACATTTTTTCTATTGTTTGTAAGATCTAGCAGACCCCCCCCTCCCCCTAAATGTCTTACGTAATTTATAGACGGCCCCTTAGGGGTATTTTGAGCCTATATAGTACGAATTTTAGGGGGAAAGTTTGGTAGAATTTTTTTTATTTGGCGGTTTTTTAGTAGTTTTATTTATTATAAATAAATCTTTTAAGCATCATGTCTTTTACAACAACATGATAATGAAAAGATAATTGACTTTAACTTTTTAACGCTCCATTTTATATTTATTCATAAATATTATTCTTTAAACCTAAAATTTCATTTTTTAATAAAAAACTATCTCAAAAAATAATAAATTTACTCCAAAACAAAGATTTATAATTAAATATTCATAAAATAAAATATTGTATTAGAATGTTAATTTTAAAATTTGTTTTATATATAAGATGAAAGCTTATAGATTTAAAGAGCGCCCTTGTTTAATAAGTATATAATTTTGTTCTTATACATTACGAAAAATCGTTTTCTAACTTATAACAAACTTACACTTTGAGTCAAATTTATTAAAATAAAAATTTATATGTATTTTAAAAATTTAGGGGGAAATTTGTCTTTTTAGAGGAAAATTAGAATTATAATAGGGGGAATCTGCCCTAACCATCTGACAACACTGTATATAAGTACATAAATAAATACACAACAATGCTTAAAAAATATTTTTTAAAAATTAAATTATTTAAGGAAGTGTTAAAGCCATTGCAATATCTACACTATTGTGGACTCCAACTTCGTCCAAAAATATATAATAGAATATTTTGAACCAATGTTTTCATTGAACCACTTCAATTTTTTTTAGAGAAATGACTGAATGAAATTTCTTCTAATTTCATATAAATTATATATAAATTTAAATTTCTTATAATTTATAAGTTAGTTTTACGCAAACAGACATGTCCAAAAGTTTCCGGCACGTGAATTTATTAGTTACTAAAAATACTGAAAGAACTGTTTTCCACGTATAGGGTCACTGCACCAGTGAATATGAACAAATAGTGTTTCACTAACTTTCACTAATTTTTATTTTAAATAGGTAGATAAATACTTACCTATAACTATACTACCTATAAAGTCAGTCGTATATTGTTTTTGTTTCATTTCTAGGTTTGACGCCAAAATCTATTTTTTTTCAAAAAAAATAA